CTGGAGTTACAGTTATTTTTGGGTACTTATTTCTCTGTTAGAAGCGGGCTCTCCAGAAATCCACTGCCTTTATTAGTCATCATTCAGCTGTCATGCCCAGTCCACAGTGGGCTAATTTGTGAAAGGCCCAGTGATGTATAATCTAACCTTTCACGAACTTTTCCAACCAAAATTCTATTATTATTTCCCCAAGGCCCTTTCATGCTTGCTGGGGTGCATTTGTGTTTACTGTTTTTCCTTCTTCATTCACTCTCCCTGTTTCTGAAGCTGTTTCTTCTTCTGGCGATTGTGTAAGGGCATCTTGACCATCCTGTAGGCAAATCAGCATCTTCTACCCATTCCTGCCCCAGTTCCAACCCCAAATCCTGTCTCAAAGACCTGATTCATGCAAGAACATAAGAAGATCCTGCTGGATCAGGCCCATGACTTGCCTAGTCCAGCATCCTGTTCTCACGGTAGCCAGTCAGATGCCCCTATGGGAAACCTGAAAGCAGGAACTGAGCACAAGGAATGCTTCCCATCACACTTGGGGGCATTTCCAAGTGTGCAGAGTCTTGACTTGCCATCAGGATGGGTTATGCAAATGAAGTTCAGTCTGCCCCCCAGGTGGAAATTAGTCTCCTGCCATGCCCCCTCCACGCACCACCATAGTGCTATGCATGTTCACAAATTCCAAACTACAGCGTTTGTACAGTTAAACCTGGGTTGGGGGGGCTGTTTCAGCATTTGGCCTCATTTCTTTTGGCCCTAAGCACCACCCAGCTTTCTGGGGGCATCGCTTCCCCTGTGTGGGGTGCTTGGAATGCTGTAGACGTCCACCCAACATGGGCTCTACTGTCCCTCAGCTCTGGGCTCTGCCCCATCTATTATGCTACCACCACTTGATTGTGGGTCAATGGCTCTTCATAGGGAAAACATTCCCCACTCCTGAATTAAATAAAGATCTGACTTCTAATCGGGTAATCAGCCACAGAAAGAAAACACAAGAGACTGAGAATCTATTAACTCTGATTATAGAAGAGCTTTAGGTTGCAGTCCTATATAGTGACTCATGAAAGTCTGCCCCACTGAATTTCTTGGGGCTTACTTCTGATTACTTGGACATGCAAGGTATTTTATTCCATGTAACCGGATCAGAGTCAGGAGCTGTTTATTCTCTAGTCAACCACCGTCTGCCACCCCAAGCCCCTCACCATCTCTTCATCCAACCAGTCCTTGAAAATACCTCAAGGTATCATTCTAAAGGAACCAATTGGCATCAATTTCATTTCCATCTTCACAGCATTATGGTCAGAACAAGTTTTGGGGCAAATCTCTGTTTTGCAGATCTTCGGAACCAGTCCCCTGGTTACCTAGATTTGGTCAATTCTTGTCCAAGTCATTTTAGCCTCAGAGAAGAAAGTTCCCTCTCTCCCCAGAGGGTTCTTCATTCTCCAAATGTCAACTAAGTCCATATTTTCAGTCATGTCAAAAAAGGTTTTTGGTAGTCTACCATCTTTGGTGACTACCTGTCTCTGTGCCTTGTCCATATTTGTAGACACCACTCCATTCATATCTCCCATCAAGATCATATTATAGTCCATATAATCCATCAGAGTCTCATGTAGCTTCTTAAAGAACTCCGATTTTCCTTCATTTGGTGCATAAATACCTACAATCAAGAATTTCTCTCCTTGTAATTGAATTTCAATTGCAACAAATCCAAATGGACCCCCAGCCAAGACGCTCAGAGGGAATATGCAACTGTGTTCCACCCTGCTGTTCTTGTGCACTGACTGGTGTTGCATGTGTATGGCTCACATGGTAGCAATACCAGGGCTGTCATGATTGGCGGCTGGCAAGAGAGAGTTGCCAGGGAGACTGTGAGCATGTCATCTGTTGCCCTGTTGCTTCTGCTAGTATTCTGCTGTTCTGCCTGGTCGTGGTGATGACCACCTTAGCTGGTCCCTAGCCTTGTCCCTCCCACTGCTTCAGCACAGCATTTAGATGAATGGCTCCAGCCCCACGTGTCAGAATCACTCCTGACTAGCTACCAGCAGTGCATTGCAGCAAAAGGGTTCCTTTATGCAGTTTGTCCTTGGATCATTGCTGAAATTCTGCCCTTTGCATTAATGGTTAGACATCACCACGCTTAGCATTAACCCAGAAATGGAAATACAGTACTCATTCAGCCATCTGCCTTCGTCTCTCTAGCATTAGTGAAACCTGGCAGCTTAGCGGACAAAATACAAAACACTGTACTATAATTATCCTGTGCCATTTACAGAGTGGTATTTTTGCCTGGGGATGACAAATGCCTGCCATTTCTCAGCCAAACATGACACACAAATTAAAAGTGAAGGAGCAGTTTCCATCCCCAAAGACTGTAGAGTTTTCTCCTTGTGAAAAGAAGCCCACTAGTTCGGAATGCAGAGGTTTGTGGAAGACAAAAGGGATTTTATTTCAGAGCCATCTGAATTTCTCGTCCCAGATCGTTTGCAAATGCAGTTTGTCCACCTTTGCTCATTGCTATTATTTTAAAGATAAGGCAAGGCTTGTTGAGGACAAACTGGTGAATCCACACAGGAGCTAAGAAAAGTAGAATTCAATTCCACGGTCTAAGAACAGACCTGGGTTGAATGTGCTATTTGGGGATTAATATTTTCTCTGAAGATATTCCAGAGGAGTAGCCGTGCTAGGCTATGTTGCGGAAGAAGAAAAAACCCCAAAGAATTTTGTTGAATTGCCTGGTGAATTTATTATGGCATGATCTGCAAAAGCTGGTGCCATACTAAATTTGTTAAATATTTAAGGTGCCACAAGACTTTTTTTTTTGTTTTCTCTGAAAAGCTTCACCTTGGGATCCTACAGGCTGAATTCATTCCTGCGCAGATTCATGTCCAGCTAGGTATGAAACGAGTGCCAAATGATTTATGCTGCTCTGCAGCCATGAATTATACATCAAGGGGCCTGGCAATGGAGGAAATCAAAGCTCCATGAACGCTGCTGTTTCAGACTGACAAGGCAAAGCACCCACCGATGAGCCTTCATGCAAAACAAGGCGGAAACGACCAGTGGGAAATGGCCTCTGGAAATATCAGATGGAGACAGGCTCCTGAATAAAAATGAGGGTATTTTAAGAGCCCCATTTATTTATTTATTTATTTATTTATTTATTTATTTATTTATTTATTTATTTATGTCTACTAAGGTGGAAGGAAGAGGATAGGACTTAATAATTTACGTGTAAATCCATACACACCTCTGCTTTAACATGTCCTCTGCTTTAGAGCCTTGTGCATTACATCTCAGAAAACCTGCAATGCAGCTTAGTGGCTTGGTCCAAGACCCAGGGCTGTAGCTCAGTTGTAATAATAATAATAATAATAATAATAATAATAATAATAATAATAATAATAATAATGATAAAAAGTAAAAAAACATGGGATGCGGGTGGCGCTGTGGTCTAAACCAACGAGCCTCTTGGGCTCACTGATTG